GCACTTCTGTGTAGTCTGAATATTTGTAAAATATTCAGAGGTTGCATTTCTCATATACTCAAAAACAAAAGTCTGGCAGCAGGAAGAATGCTACCTGAGGTGAAAGCTGTTGGCCTTGTTCCAACCCTGGGAGACCACTAGAGAGTCCTGGTGCACTGTTTCTGGTAACCAGGACAAAGGAACAGGGGCACGTTGGGGCTGTGCAAGTGAGTGCACCCTGTTTTGCTGGTCACATCTTCTCAGATCTGTCTCCTGGTTGGACATGTAGACCGATGACCTATTTCCATCCTTCTGCACAGGCAGTCTGGGATCTCCAGGTATTTCATTGAGAAAATGCAGACACTTCAGGCTGCCGCAGTGCTTGGGAATTAATCTTTAAAGCCTGACTGTGAGCATTAAATTCAATTAGGGAGAGCGACTGGCAGAGATTATTCTCTCCCTTTCCTGAGTAGTTTGGAGAGGTAGCTGACTGGTCCGCTCTGATTCCGGTGTTCTTGTCGGTACCAGCTGGAAGAACCAGCAGGTGCTGTTCACCTGTGGGCGTCATCACCCAGTGTCCAGCTTGAGCCCAGTGCGGGTGCTTCAGGAAGCCCTGGCATGAGTTCCAGGGTGCCGGGCTGCGCTTTGGCCTTGGTGTCACAGAGCCTGTGTTTTCTGCTCCGTATGTCTTTCTTGACAGCCCCCATCCTTACCCTGTTCTCTGCTCCTCCTGTTCCCGCTCTTCCTTCCTCCTCCTCTGGTTCCTCCTCTGCATCATCTTCTGCTCCTCCTTCCTTCCCATACCCCTTCCCGTTTCTTCTCTGTGTCCTCCTCCTTCCTCTATTGCTTCTTTTTCTTCTCCTACCCTTCCTCCTCACTATCTTAACATCTGTATTTTAAATTAGGACATGCTTATAAGAATATATTATACTCAGAAGCATAGAAAGTAACCAAACAGACACTTGTGAATGCAGCTGAGAACATGAAATCCAGAGGTCTGTCCCGAGCTTTGATGGACCACCAGCTGTTTGACCCTTTGGTGAATCTCTTCTCAAGACTCCCCCTTCTTATGGCTTCCAGGGAGCCCCTCTCTCTCTTTCTCCCACCTCACTGGCCTCTTCTACACAGACTCCTTTTTTCGATGTCCTTCTCCTCCTCGACTCCCATCCTGTGAACACTGGGGCCCTAGGTTGAGGTCAGGGCCTCCTTTCTGCTCTGTGTGCATGTATTCCCTGGAGAGCACAGCCAGCTCATGACGGTGACTTGCATAGCTCTGTGTCCATCCTGGACCTCTCTTCTCATTATCTTATCATGTGTTTGACTCCCTGCCCCTGGGTTGAGAGTGGAGCTGCTGGCCATCTTTACCCTAGCTTGCTCTTCCTGTAGGCTCACCCACTCCGTGACTCCTTCCCTCTTGATGCTCAGGCCCCAACTTAGGAGTTGTCCTAGATTCTTCTCTAGACTTCACATTCCACCTCCAGTCCAAGGGTTTCCTGTTTTCCACCTTCCAAGGTGGGCTGCTTCTCCACTCCTCATGTCCATGTCCTTCTCCTATCTGCCCTGGATTCTTGCAGGAGCCTCCTGTGGTCCCCTGCCTCTCCCCTCCCTGCATGGCAGCCAGAGGGTCCTGTTAGAGTGATGCCAGCCCACTCCCCATCTTCTACCTGTGCACCCTGAATGCTCTGGCTCCTTGTGATTTTCTACCCTCATCTCTTGCTGTCCCCATCCTGTTCACTCTCTAGATACACTGACCTTGCTGTTGCTTAGTCATTTTAGACACACTAATTGTCCCTGCCCAGCAATTTCTGCACAGCACTCTTTTTCACCCCTCAGGTCCTCCCAGAGGGGTGCACCTAGCCATCATGGTGGCCATTTCAGCCTCTTTCCCGACCTTAACATCTCCTTTCCTGCTTATTTTTGAAAATTTCAGTCTTTGTCACTGCCCCCAGTAGAAATCTCTAGATTCCGCTTATTTGTTTTGTGTCTCTCCCCCTCCCTGGAATATGAACTCTTTGGGGACAGGGATTTCAGTCCTGTTGGTTTCTCATTTCTCCGGTGCCTGGCAAATAGCAGGTGCTCAGGAAGCATATGAACCAGTGAACAGGCCAAAGAGCTTTGCAGAAGGAAGCATTTGGGCATCTTGGCTTTGGATCACTCTCCCTCTCTCCCTCTTTGGATCACTCTCCCTCTCTCCCTCCTCTTGCTCTCCTACACTGAGCAGTATTCACAGCTCCCTTCCTCCAACCTGCCCTCTCCCTCCAGCCCCAGGAGCAACAACATTCCCATACACGTTTTATAGTCTTCCTACAAATGCATGAATAAGCGAGATAGGGTTTTGTTTTGTTGTATCTATTCTTAAAAGTTGTGGTGAAATGCAACAAAAAATTCACCATCATGCAGTTCAGAGGCATGAAGTGCATCCATATTGGTGTGTGACCGCCACCACCATCTTGTAAAACTGAAACTGTTTCCTGACCCCCAGCTGCAGCAACCTTTCTACTTCCTGGCTCTGGTTTTGACCACTCAGGGTACCTTCTGTAAGTGGAGTCTCTTTTTTCATCTGGCTTCTTCCCCTCAGCCTGGTTCATCCATGTTATAATGTCAGGAGGCATCAGGAGGTCCTTATTTTTTAAGGATGAGTGCTATTCTGCTGTGTGGATGGGCCACATTTGTTTATCTGTTCAGCAGTCCATGGACAATGGGGATTGCTTGTACCTTTTGACTGTTGTAAGTAATGCCACTGTGACATTGGGGTGCAATATCTCCCTGAGACCCTGGTTTCAGTTTTTTTGGGTATAGACTACAAGTGGAATTGCTAGATTCTATGTTTAATTCATTTTGGTTTTGTAGTGCCAAAAATTGAACCTAGGGTGCTCTACCACTGAGCTACATCCCCAATCCTTTTTAATATTTATTTTTTTTTAGTTTTCGGCGGACACAACAGCTTTGTTTGTATGTGGTGCTGAGGATCGAACCCGGGCCGCACGCATGCCAGAAGAGCGCGCTACCACTTGAGCCACATCCCCAGCCCCCCCAATCCTTTTTATACTTTTTTTTTGAGAGAGTGTCTCTCCCCAGTTTGCCCAGGCTGCCCTTGAACAATCCTCCAGCCTCAGCCTCCCGAGTAATTGGGATCATAGGGTGTGCCATGAGCTTTTTTTTTTTTTTTTAATATTTAGTTTTTAGTTTTAGGTGGACACAATATCTTTATTTTATATTTATGTGGTGCCGAGGATTGAACCTAGTGCCTCATGCGTGCTCGGCGAGTGCTCTACCACTGAGCCCCAACCCCCAGCCCCTGTGTTGAACTTTTTGAGGAACTGGAACTGTTTTTCATAACAGCAACACTATTCACATTTCTGCCTGCATGTGCGTGGATTTGATTCTGCATTCTTGCCTACACTCACCATTTTCTGTTCTTTTGTTAGCAGCCATCTTAATGGGTATGAGGTGAAATTTTGTGTGTTACTAAACATATTTTTAGTAACATACGAAATACTAGCGTCCTACTCTCTCTATATATGATATATATATCTTGTTTTAGGTACTCAGCATTAATTTTTACCTTCAACTGTGTTGACCCTGTAGATTTGCTTCATTCATGTTACTTTATTTTTTCTATGCATACCGTACTTGTATGCAGTTCTTTATTTTTTCTATGCATACCGTACTTGTATGCAGTTCTTTATTTTTTCTATGCATACCGTACTTGTATGCAGTTCTTTATTTTTTCTATGCATACCGTACTTGTATGCAGTTTTGGAGGAGCGGCACTCCCTGCACCCTGCTTCCCTTGCTTGGGTTCTCCCGACACTCTGAAGTCTTGACAGCTGCTTTTGTTGCTTGTGTCCACATCTCTAAATGCGAATGCTGCTGTCTCTCAGTTTCCCACCTTGTAGCCCTAGCTACTGACCTGGCAGGAAAGCAGAACGGAGCTCTCAACATTCTTTGAAGGTTGCTTCTGACCTTAGATATTTACATATTCCAGAACTCGACCCTTTGCTCTGTGAAGATCTTCAGGACTTGGCAGGTTGACGGGAGGCTACCCCTAGGGTCGTGTTCATGGCGGTTGCACTTCGAGTGGGTTTCTGTCTCATTAAGGAAAGTGAGGCTTGGTTTTCCTGATGTGGTTGACAGGAGCGTGGAGAATCCTGCAAGCTCCAAGCAGTGCATCCAGCAACTGCAGGGTCCTGCTGTGCGCGGCACCCTGCCACACACCGTGCAGGGTCGCGCCTTAGCCCTTGCCCCTGCCCTTGCCCCTGCCTTGGGCCATGCTTGTCTCTTCTCCTTTCCTGGAGTGGAGACAGGTCCAGAGAGGTAGTGCCACTGGGCCAACTCACAGGATGGGCCAGGAATACTGTGTACTAGGAGAGCGTCCCCTTCTTCCTGCAGCCACAGGGTTGCCACTGCCTTTTCCTTGGGCTGTGTGGAGGGTGATGGGATCTGAGGCCAGCAGCTCTCAGAATGTGCTCTTCTGTACTCAGGCCCTGCGTCACTTTCCGAAGGTGTTCAGTGTATGTGAGGCCTCATTCCCCATGGGGAAGCCAGGGTGGGTGTTTGCTGTTTGTTCTGGGCGTGGCAGGCTCCTTTTTGGGCCGCAGTCTTAAAGCAGTGCCCATGTGTCTAGCCTGGCCATGAAGAGTAAGGATTCCAGGGATACAGGTGAGGCTGCGGCAGGGCCTAGTGCCGACAGCAGCACTCTATGGTGCCTGCAGGCAGGAGCAGGCTAGAAGGGCTTAGGTAGGTGAGTGGAGACACAGGATGGGCAAGGGGCCGTGTGTGGAGGAGGTGCCTCATTCTGCCTGTGTACTTTAGAAAACCCAGGGGGCCTTCCTGTGTTCTTCATCCCAGAAAAAGTCTTCACATTTCTGCAAGGACATGTTTTAGCATCTCGATATCATTTTGATGGTGAAACAGCGGGAGTCAGTTTTAGAGCGAGCCCCTGCCCCATGCAGATAGTCTGAGCCCAGTCCAGGAGACTGGCCATCCTCCAATGTCGGGTGCTGTTTGTTTCTTTGTAGGTGTGGAACGCTGTGGACTCGGGGCGCTGCTTGCAGACCTACTCCCTGCACCGTGAGGCTGTGCGGGCTGCCCGGTGGTCTCCCTGCGGCGGGCGCATCCTCAGTGGCGGCTTCGACTTTGCCCTGCACCTCACAGACCTGGAAACAGGTGGGTTCCTCGGTATCATTACTCCAAGGCGAGCTGGCAGCTCTCTCACTAGGGAGGGTTCTCTGGAGGGTCCCTGGCCACGGGCTGTGTGGGGTGTTAGGGGAGTAGGAGGGGCTCCCAACTCTGCAGAAGGTTCAAGGCTGTCTCAGCCTCAAGCAGTGGGGCGGATATCGAGGCAGCTTTTTATCAGCTCTGACATGCAGTTTATAGTGAAGCAGGTTTAACTTGATCGTGGTGTTCTTTGGTTGGGGCCAGTGTATAGGACTCCTGTCAATCCATTACCATTGAAGGCTGTAAGAATGACTTCATCTCCCAAGGAAGGGTTTCAGGTAGGTTGTGCTTTAGTGCCCACACTAGAAGAGCATTGGCAAGATGGATTCGTGCTGGGTATGAGTGTGAATCTGAGCAGTCTTGGAGGAGGAGTCAGTGGAAGGAGCTTTCCTGTCCCTGGCTCTGTGCCCAGGCACTGTGATACCTGCTATGGCCCCAGTTCCCGGGGCTTCCTGCTGGGTGGTGGTAGGAACAGACCAGGGCTGACACAGCTGGTGGGCAGGCCAATGCTGCCCTTGTCCTGGGCCTAGCTTCTTTCCACACCCATGTGGCCATCTACTCTTAGGCTCCTCCTTCCTCCGTCACTTTTCTGCTAGGTATCACAGCCAGGGTCAAGAGGAGGGACTAGAGTCCCTGGAGCCCTGAGAACAGCATCCTGCCTGCCTGGTGTGGCTGCCCCAGGGCTGGTGGCCTTACCCTGGGGTCCAGCCCAGCAGGTCTGAGAGGATGCAGAGAGGAAACACACAGGAGGCTGAGGTCACTGTGGACTTGGAACCCACCTCACATGTCCTCCTCTTTTGGGCCACCCAGGCGGGCCCCATGCACTCTCGGGGGTGGGATGATGAGACTGCCAGTCAGGGGCCCTGCTTGGTCAAGGGGTGTATCTCCAGCTCTGTGGGAGGCCTGCGGAATTCTCCCTGCAGCAGCTGGCAGTAGTTATTTCCATTTCATAGGTGAGGAGACCGAGGCCCAGAGTGCAAGGTGGGGACTGGCAGGGTTGGAGCTGAGTCTGTACTGTAGACTGGTACCCTTCCCTTAGTGCCCAGTGGACAGAGCCTCTCCCTCATGGGGAAGCTCTCTGACAGTTTGTGTCTCTCTTCTTCTCAAGCCCACGGGTGCCAAGGCTTGGGGAGTTTGCTGCCACTTGATAGTGATGATTGGGCTGATGATGATGCAGCAGTCTGTTCTGACCAGGTACCCGCTGTGTGCCAGGTGTCTCTCCACAGCCATCCACATGAGTGTCCTGTGGGCCCTGTCACCCTTAGAGGCAGGGACCATCAGAGTTGTGAAAAGGCGGCCTTTTCACATGCTGGTCTGGGGCCACGAGCTAGGCAGTGGCACAACCAGGATGTACCCAGGTCTGCCAGGCCACCAAGCCAGCTGTCTGCCTGCTTCCCTGGTGCCCATGTGCCCCATCGCCATGCTGTGTGTGCGACAGAGCTGAACACAGCCCAGGGCTCACCTGGAGAAGGCCACATCTGTTGGGGACAGAAGTGCTGGGACCACCGTCTGCAGTGATGGAGTGAGATACAGGGATTGCAGGAGCACGGAGTTTAGAAAACCCAGGGGTCCTTCCTGGAGGAAGCACAGCCCACACTGAGCCAGGAGTTAAGTGAGACATCACGGTGGAGGAAGCGTGTTCCAGGGGAGGGAAGTGGGCTCTCAGCAGGTAGGGCCATAAGGACACAGGATGCTACATTGTGTGTGAGGGAATGGGAGAGAGGATCTGGGGAGTGCAGGAGGGTACCCCTGGCCTATGGATCCCATGAGCACATATGGGTGGGTGCTGCACTGCCCATAGAGGGACAGGTTAGCTCACCTAACTCTGGGCCATCGTTTCTCAGATGTGGGTGATGCTGTTGAAATACTCAACTCAGATTCACTTGATGACATTAGCAGATTCGTTGTGGCCCTGGGTTATTACCTGTTTTCTCAATCAACAGATGTTAAGCGGACACATATGCCTGTGTGTGTGTGTGTGTGTGTGTGTCTGTGTATTGGGGGATGTCTTGAATGTTTTAGACAACCAGAGGCCCTCTTGCCTGACAAGTTAGGGACTACTGTAGGGCCACTGCTGAGTTTTGGGCAGGAGAGAGCTGGGTTTGATTTGTGCTTTGGGTGGGTATCCCTGGTCGCTGCAGCTTGTCTTGTGTGTTCTACAGGCCTGCTGGAGGAGAGGGGTAGTTTGTCTGGCCCAGGCCCAGCACATTCCTTCAGCTCTCTGGTGCTGAATGGATAGAGAGGAAGGCGGGGCCCTGTTCTGGGGGCCTTGCCACCCAGCCAGTGAGGCGATGTGGGCCCCCCACCCACACCTCTTCTGGGAATGTGTTCACTGCCAGGCTTGTCTTCTGAAGGCCTTGCTGGTTCACTCAGCATCTACTCCCCATGTATCTGCTGTGTGCAGGAACGTGCTGGGCTGCAGCACAGGGCTTGCTGGACACCCTTCGTCTCCAGCGAGGGCATGATGGCAGAGCTTGCACCCCAGCCTATAGAGGCCCTCCAGCTCCCAACAGGCTATGGTTTCTGTGCACCTCCTGGCTCCTGTGGGAGCTCATTGAGACGGGCCCATCCTGGTGTTCCCTCTGGCTTCATCGACTTGCCCTGTGTGTGGGGATGAGCTGGAACTAAGTGGGTCCATGCTGGGCCCTCCTGGCTAGGCAGTGAAGCCCATCACAGGCTGTCTGGGTGGGGTAGACTCCCCATGTCTTCTGCCTCCTCTCAGGACACCCACCCTCTGCCTTGGTGTCCCTGAGTGCTCTCTTCAGCCTTGGCTGGATTGGGCTGGACTTGCGGCCCTTGTGGCCTCTGTCCTGTTTTGGCTTCTTGTCCTTTATCTCTACCAAGTCTGCTCTCCTGTTTTGCTTTATCCCCTTTCCACCCTTGGTGATTTGCCTTTTTCATTTCAGTCTCATTAGCGCTCCTGCCAAGAGAAGGCAGCGCGGGGCGTCTCGGTGCAGCGCTTTGGGAATTAGTCACTCGGTGCCCATTGTCGTTAATGGGAATTTGGTGCCAAGGCCATTTATCCTGGTGTCCTCAATCAATACAGCTAAAAATCTGTGGATTCTAAAATGTCAATACCCAGCCTGAAATATGGAGGGCCAGCCACATTTTATCTCATTAATTTATAGTTCTGACGGGCTGTTGGCTTACAGAACAACCATGAATCAACACTTAATAAAATCTGCTCACAGATTAATTATTTTTGGTGTTCCTGCTTCCGTCTGTAATCTTCCTAACAAATGTCTCCAGTGCATTAGCCTGAGGTGGCCTCAGGGGACACTAGCTGACGCCACCTGAGTGTCCTCAGCCTTGTGAGTCACCTGTCCTGCATGTAAAATCAGCCTGTCTCTTCCATACCCACCATGGCTCCTCCAGTGCTTAGCGGTCCTGGTGGTGTTTCTCGAAAGTTCTAGCCCCCATCAGTCTCCCAGCCTGATGGTGAAGCCACTGTTGTTGAGGGGCGCAGGTCTCCATGCTGCACGCTTGTTGGCCACTCAGGAGCTCTCTTTGTCTGTGTTGGACGCTCTCCTGAGGTGCACCCAGTTCCTGGATGCCGTAGAAGGAATGTGGGTGGGATGCACCTTCAGCCCCTCACCCCCCACCCTGAGCCGGGAAGGCGGGGAGTGTGCCTTTGCCTTTTTCTGCAGGAGCCTGGCTGGCAGACTGTTGGGGAAGGGTGCAGTGTGTACAGAGGGCCCCTCAGAGCATGGGTTAGGGTCGGCCCTCAGCAGAGGTGCCTCTTCCCTCTGTCACTGCTCCGTGAAGACCTCGGTTCTGGGCTGGGGTTGTGGCTCAGCGGGAGAGCGCTTGCCCAGCATGTGCAAGACCCTGGGTTCGATCCTCATCACCACATAAAAATAAATTAACTAATTAAAGATATTGTATCCAACTACAACTAAAAAATAAATATTTTACAAAAATCTCATTTAAAAAAAAAAAGACCCCAGTTCTATGGAGTTGTCCACGGTGTCCCAGTTGTTGGGGTAGTTCCCCAAATGGGGCCACTTTAGGGTGTCAATTTCAGAATCCCCCAGCTGGCAGTCAGGGTGGGTTTCAGGGCAGACTGTGAGGAGGCCTTGGCCCATCTCTCTGATCCTCCTCCAGGTTTCCCTCTCCAACAGTGGTGGTGGGGGAGCAGCTCTCCCTGGTGATGGCGGCATGCACCCTTTCTCTGGGATCTGGGGTGGGCGTGCAGGAGCCTGCAGCCTGCCCTCTCCAGAGCTCCAGGTGTTAGTGGTAGGGAAGGTCTGCCCTTCTCACTGGGATACTCACTGCCTGCAGTCCCCCTGTCCCCAGCCCCTGTCCAGCTCCTCTTGCTCTGGATGTCCCTTGTTTTTTGTTGGGGGCCATGGTGTGTGTGAAAATGAGTGGTCAGCTCATGACCACTCCCGTGTTTTTTTTAAGAAGCATCTTCTGGTACTAGCCTTGCTTTTGCATCATTTTGGGACTTCCTTCCAGCTAGGGACACTGTAAGGATAGAGAGTAGCCCGTGGTCCAACTCCTTCTTGGGCTTGGTGGTATGGGTCTGTTCACACTCTGCCTGGCCTCCATCAAACTGAGAGGCGTGTGTGGGAGCAGCACCTGTGCTTATGTGTCATGCTTGGTCACTCTCTAGCTGCGAGGGCAGTGTTTTTATGTCCATTTCATTCATGGAGGGTTAGAGAGTTTAGTGACTTTTAAGGCCACATGGCCAGTGGCAACAGCTAGATCCAACTCGGGCCCATGGGATTGGCAGAGGTTTTCTGCAGAGGCACAGGAGTGGCAGGCTCTCTCCACAACTGTTTGCCCAGACAAGTAGTGTGCTCAGCCGACTATTGGGAGCTATCGGCTTGGGAGGGAGTGCCTGAGCTCATCTTGACCAAGCCTCTGATTAAGTGACAGGCCAGGGTGCTTCTCTAGCTGTCAGCAGCTGTGCTCCAGGGGGAAGTGTCAACCCCAAAGACTTCAGG